CTAAACCCCTAAACCCGAAGCCCGGAAGCCTCCGAGCCCACGACTTGAATCCTGGAGCCCCCGAAGCCCCAAAAAAGCCCTGAAGCCCTGGAAAAACCGCTGTCCTTGGTTAAGGAAAACTACAGGTGGGGAGTTTATAGGGTTCCTTTAAAAGGGGTTTAGGGTTTAGGGTTCCTTTAAGGGTTTCGGGTTTAGGGTACAGGTGGGGAGTTTAGGGTATATAGGGCTTCTATAAGGCTTCCATAAGGTATATAGAGTTTCTATGAGGCTCCTATAACGGTAACTACCCACCTGAAAATGTCCTAGACTTGGAACTATGGAACTTTGTAGAGTAAGTAAGGTTATAAGTACCCTTATTGTCGTTATAGATAAGTATACATATAGCCACCTTTCTTACTACCCAAATTACCACGTCCCATGATCCTTTAAGTAAGCACAAAGCCCCCCCTAAACCCTAAACCCTAAACCCTAAACCCTAAACCCTAAACCCTAAACCCTAAACCCTAAACCCTAACCCTTAGCTGAGCCCTAACACAATCGAACCCCTGAAGCCCCAAAAAGCCTCCAAACTCGTCAGCCTTTCGGTTACGAGGTTTAGGGTTTAGGGGTCCAGTTCTTTTTTTTAAAGTGTGGTGGGCCCTTTCACTCCGAAAAGGGTTCAGGGTTTAAGGTTTAGGGCTCATAGAGTTTAGGGTTTATAGGATTTAGGGTTTGGGTTTGGGGTATTTTGGGGGTTTAAAGTTTAAAGCTTAGGGTTGACGGCCCTGGCTGGGGCACTCCAAACCGCTCACCGGGTTGCCTCCTCCAAAGGCCACCCGGCAACGAACGCGGCCGCGGAGCCTTTGGAAGATAGTGGTATATTATATACTCTATTATATTCTACTATGTAGTATATATGTATATACCAATAGTAATATGAATATTATATATATATATACATACACACACTGTTTCAAAGTTATTTGTTAGGGTTCATGTTTTGCTGAAGCTCCCACATCGCGAGGACAAAACCGGGCCTCAACCTGCCAAAAACAACACATGTTGTAGGGTGGTTGTATGATGTTGTATGAAACCGAATATGGGAATTACAGGATCGCTACCGAACAGGCAGGCCAAGGAAGAGTAAGCTAAGCTACATGGCAGAGCCGCATCTTCGTTCAGCATTCTTGCGAGTTTGCTTCCTATTGCTTGCGCCGGTTGTAAATCTCACTATATAGGCTGAAGATGTGCCACGTGCCAAAGGCTTGAACCGTAAACCTCAAACCCCCAAAAACTCCTGCGCAACCTTATAGCAACCCTTGTATCCTAAACCCCAACCCTACACCCTAAACCAGTATAGGACCCCTTATATTCTACACCCTAAACCCTGAAGCCCTTAAGCCCTACATACACCCTGAGATATATCCTAAACCCTAAATCCTGAGGACCTTAAAGCCTGAACCACTATGGCCTCCCTTATATCCTGAACCCTAAACCCTGAAGCCTAAACCCTAAACCCTAAACCCCTAAACCCTAAACCCTAAACCCTAAACCCTAAAGGCAAGTCCCTGGGGGTTTCCCGGAGACCATGGGGCAGTATAACAGAAGAAGTTGCGGCAAGAGCTCGAAAGTACTGCAAATACCAGTGATTTTGCACTTGCTTATCAGAGCTATGCTG